AATATTGACAGTAGCTCACATGGGGAAGCATGATCCCCCATACTGTAGCTCCAAGAAACGATGCACCAGCTAGACCTCACACCTGAAACCTTCAAAATAAGCTACCATGTTTACATGGATCCGGTGATGGACCGTGTCGTCCTCATGGCTTTTGGATTCTGCCGCTGAGGCACACGACATCTTTGTCAGGGAAGCGGAAGCCAGGCCTGGGGAGAGATCGCATAAGCGCATTGCAGATGCGAGTGCGTATATGATGGAGCTTGCAACGGGATAATGGGTTCCCTGCGCAGAACTCTACAGACTTTGGAGACACTACCATTGATAGCCCCCAGGAGGCCAGACTACCATCGGCCACATGACTGCTGTAATGCTGACGAATAGAACTGGTGACTTGGCGAAGCCATATGGCATGCACGATTGTCAACAAGCAAAATCAATGTAGAAACTACTCGCATATCTCCAGCATACACAATGCTTCGGTGGAGATCCTGTTCCTGTCTGTGGACAGCATGGCTCAATGCGGACTACCCCCCCCCCCCCCGGAAAGTCTACCTGCATAGTAATTAACGACTCCAAGAACAACAGCACCTTGAGTCATCACCCATGCAACATTAGCATCCACAACAACCAAGCGGACAACCAGATAAGACAAGTCCAACTGTAGCCCCCGTAAGAAACTTCAGTTCAACTTCCCTGAATATCTCATGCTGGAAAAGGAGCAACACTACGCACCGTAAGCTAGTTGTTATTCTGGCCCGCAATTATCTCTAAGCTCCGGCCCGGAACTGCATATACCTACTCAGGCAAGCACAAACGGCAATACATGCAATAAACATAATCCAAGGCCTTATGAAAGATTTACATAATTCTCTTCGACCCCACAGCTTGGATGGAGGCGGGAGCAGCACAGAGTCAATGATGTGAACGATTCCGTTTGTCGCCTCAGCCATCCAACTACAAGACCTACTCTATCTGCGTTTGCTTCAGGCACCTCAAGCCTGGACGCTTGCGTGCAAAATTCGTGTGCCCTCCCCCACGTTGCACGAGGAACAGGGCTCGGTGGTGAACTGGAGCAGGTGCCCTGAGCCTATGACTGGGATATCCACAGTTCTCACCCTGGCAGTGTCCACGGTGAGCGGATTTACGGAGCCTTGGACAAGATCAAAGTTTGAATCTAGGCAGGCGGCGCAGAAATCCTATGGTTTCGAAGCCCAAGGACATGAATCAGGAATAACAACAAGGCCCATGGTCAACACAGCTTGCAACAGCCATGCACCAATCAACCAGCATCGCCAAGAAGCTAATCTTAAGCAGGCTCTGCTCCATTGTCTGGACAGCCGTGTTGGCAGTGAAGTCTGCCCGAGGAAAGCTGCCTGACGCACAGTCTGTGGGTACACTTTCAAGGCAGTTTGCTTATCGTGCTTCTGCTTTTCTATACGACAGCATATAAGGACTGTTTGGAGAAGCTGTCTCAACATCCTCGGCACCTACACTACCATCATCATAGTCGTAATCGGAATATCGGCAATGAAAGCAACAGAGCTGGACAGCACCTGCTAATTTTATGAAGACACTATGAGCATTCACTCAAACTGGGGATCAGAAGACAATGGCATCTGAAATCCCCATGAACCACCTCATCACACCCCCTGCCACACACATTTCGAGCACCAAAGGACGCACAATCTTCACCCAAGCCCTAGATCCCAAGAATCATAAGCACAAGCCCAAAAACTGGAACCGCTAGTGGCTCAGTGACAGTTTCCTACACATCTGGGGTTTCCCAAAATATGGTTATTATCGAGGGTCCCTATAGTAAGGTTCATAGTATTTGGGGGTCTAGATTGGGGTCCTCCTATTTTGAATAACTACCATCTTTTGCAAGGGACAAACCCTGACGCCTGCTAGAACATGATACCGTAGAACTTGCGCCAGCTTGGCCTTCCGGCAGCACGGCAGCACGGCAGCACGGCACCCAGCCCCCAGACTAGTTGGGAGGTCTGATGGTAGTGTAAGCGGAATGTCGAAGCACATGTAAGGAGTCTAGGGATGATAGAAAATTTGAGCTTTTTCTCAGGGCTTCATCAAGATAGGGGGCAGTGAATCTTGAGAAACCACCCACTGAGCCCCGTATCCATAACCATGAACGGAAAGCATTGACATAGTCAGTGAGAACGATATTGCTTGCTTCCAAGTCCTACTCTGGTCATGCTTTGGGTGCAGGTTGCACTTCTGGTTGGCGTCAGTACTGCTATGTGTTTCCTGGTTGCCAGTTTCAAGCTGCGTGGCAATAAAACACGGATGTCTCCCTAGCAAGTAACATGTATTGCCACATATCGGCAGCCAGGACGTTGACGAATCCTGACGACGTGTCCGGGGTGCAGGGAAACTTCTGCCCAACAACAGGACATGCTTGCGAAGAGACATTGACATGACTTTTGTTGGTAGTCTGCATTGGTTTCGTTAAAGTTGTTCAATAAACGCTCAGCGGGGAGTCTGAAAACCGCTTTGCAACGAAAGGTCCTTCCAGTCAACACACGTGAGATTCCAATCCCTTGCAAACTAGAACAGCTCCCCGGGGCACAGCGCACAACATTGAATAATTGCGCTGCATTAACCACCAGCCTGGTTTGCCGGCATGAGCAGCGAGCTCGCGACACCGATCCCCAATTGCTCAAAAGCTTCGTTCGTCGGCGCAAAGAGGGTATATGGATCGCTTCCTGGCATTCCAGACATCTTACAGCTTGCCACGTCTGTTGCCAGTGAAGTTTCGTGCATCTCGCCTGACAGTAAAGATCCCGCACTGCTCGCAGACAATGCTGCTGCTAGAAGCGACAACTCTGGACTTTGCTGGACCTGACAACTGACGGCAGAACCCTTTGCATCCATAGCGTTGCGGGCTTCCCTGCTGAGGACTGCACCAATTGCCGAATGTTTTTGTCAGGATACACAAAGCCTCCAAGTAGCGAACTGTAGCACTCTTGCACATAGAAACAAATTCCCCTCCAAGTTCCAGGCCAAAAGGAATAATGACTGCATCCATAACATGCAGCAAGCCGTTTGTGGCAGGGACGTTGGGACTAATGACCTTGGATGGTGCGACAGAACCAGGATGCATGCCCGAGTCCAAGATTCAGGGATCGCAAGGCCCTGGCCCCCGACAACGAATCGATCTGACAAGAACAAAGAGCAGGCGCTCAGGCGGCAATCTTGCTCCAAGGCTTGCATGTCAGCATGTCAATGACGGCACAACATCTCCCCGCTTAACCAGCCTTGAGGGGATCATTCCTGCAGGTCGGTGACTGAACATGCACAGCTCCACCGCGCTCATATGGCAGCACCAAGCAGCACTTGCAGTCGAGTAGCTGTGTGACCAAAAGCGGGCCTCCGGTTACCATGTTGGGAAAGCATCACACTTGAGAATCTACTTTCCAGTCAGCGCCTCCGCCCAGCGACTGCAAGGTCACTCCCACCGCCAAAGCTGCGGTGGTCTGCGACAAGTTCAAGTCATAAGTTCTATACATGACACACATGATTCTTGCTGGGTCAACAGCTTAAATCCGTAGGCGGGCCTGCGCCCCACTCACCACATGATGCAAAAGGACCTGCTCACATCAGACATCAAAACAACAATAGCCAAGAGGAAATGCGGACTGCGTGGACAGCTCAGGCCTCCTGTAGCTTCCGCTGGTTCGGAGGAAGCAAAAGAGAGGAGGCGATTCCAGGCCCTAGTTTCTCGAAGGCATCATTTGTCGGCACGAAAACCTCAGCTTGACAAAGGGAAGATCCCAAAATTGCTGGACGGCTTCACTCGCCAGGGCACTGTCAGGGGCCCCGAGGCCTTTAAGGCACTTTCCAGGTCTGCCAGCTGAATGGCCTGCATTCAAAGCTTCACGCGGCGAAAGGCTTCCAAGTGAAGCAGAAGTTAGTAGACCTGGATATTGCAACTCTTGCAGCCACTTGACGTTCACTGAGGATCTACAAGGGTGAGTTCTGACATTGAAGGTGTGCAAGTAACTTGACGTGGAAACAGCTCGACTGTACAAACAATTGAGATTCGGCTCACTTGTCTTTGCTCTGCCTCATGCAAGATGGACAAGTAATCCTCACTGGCAATGAGCTGAACCTTGTGCTTCAGCGTCACACCCACCAGAGCGGAATGCAGATGATAGACGCAAGCAGACAAGCTTTTGCCAGGGAACCAAGTCCATAGTAGGAGCCGGAAGCGCAAAATTTGGGGGAAGAAGCACCTTGGTCTCTGGCTGACCGCAACAAGCCCATCGCCATCTTACACACCGTGAACCTGAAGTTTCTTGCTGGATTCTGAGGCTGGAGCTCTGTTAATTGTGTGCACCAGTCCATTCTGGGCCACCAAATCTTGTCGCGAAACAGGCACGCCATTCCTCACTCAGTGATAATCCAGCACCAAAATCCCATGATCTCAGCAATAGCAAACCAGACATGGCCCCCAGAATCCCAATGAGCTGAAAAGAACTTCACAGCGTGCTGACCAGGTTCACTGTGAAAGGCGTAACTTCGTTCACGGTGAGGCGTTCTCCCTTCCGTAGCACTCAAATTCAGGGATCTGGTAAGACATGTCTTAACACTCAAGTACCTCTGATTTAAAGCCAAAACAAACGCTCCCTGATTCCTGATTGTGCTGTTGCAGTTGCCAAGCAGACCCTGGCAATGAAACTGTGACAGCACCAGCCTCAAAAGTTGATAGCTCCTGAGCACGATCAATGCTAATGTGCTATTCCGCACACCTAGACCTAGATTGAAGCATGTCCATCCCCCCAAACAAGTCCTGACCCGGCAGCAGATTCTGGCTGAGCGTGTTGCCATAGCAAACGTGGTACTGCAAGACCTGCTTGAGCGCGGAAGGAATTGCAGTCTCATCTGCCAGCAATGGCGACATTTGCTTATTGGGGCCTGCGTCAGAAAGTTGGTGTTCTCGGATCTGGTCCTAAGATCAACCACTGGTGTGTCAATCCTGCCTGCGGTTCGCAGGACACTGCCCAAATAAACAACAAGGCTTTTTGGGAAGGAGGGGAGGGAGGTGCTCTGAGAGCCAAGACTCAGCGATGCTGCAACGCCTGGACCAAGCAGCTGGAATGCCACGTTGGTCGGTGCAAACATTGTGAACGGGCCAACTCCTTTCTGAAGCCAGACAAGCAAATCCTGTGGTGAATTCTCCGTTGACCAAAGCAAGCTGCCTTCCAACACGAAGTTCAGGTTGGCAAGTCTGACCGCAGAAAGCCTTAGCCAGGAAAAGCTTAAAATACTGAAGCAGTCAAGGAAATGTGCTAGATTATTTATGCCTGGAGACACAGTCGCCAGTTCAGGCGATGCTGCCAGGATCCCAGTAATCGAGAGCTCCTTTGCAGAGCAGATGTCAGGTTCAGGTATTGCAAGCATCCGGCCCCTCAAGGCCTGAGTTTCGCATACCACGAACAGGAAAAAGTGGAGCAAGCTGCGGAGCGTGATGACCGCCATGGCATGGCTGCGAACGGCAACACATCAACACATCTGGCGCCAAGTACACCAGAAATGATGCCAATGGCTTAATCTATCTAAGAGTGAATGCCCCTGCACCTGAATTACATGTAGCTGCATGTTTCATAAGGCTGGCAGTCATGCGGGCCGACAGTAACTTTGCGTGCTCTGGACTTGTTGCCACGCCTGACATCATGAGGGCCAAACACTGCCATGTGCACATGCCACGAGATGCGCAGGTGGGTGATCGGCGTACATCTCACAAAGCCGAAGGAGCTCTTGCCGGACTCTGCAAAGCACTGTTGGCCTTGCGGTATTTGCAAGTGGGGAGACCTGGCTGACAGCTCACAAGCTCCACACATTCAACGCTGAACCCATGCCATGCTGGCGACATCAAAGGCACCGGCATTCCTGCGGGTCTAATTGGTGGCCTGCAGGTGTAATCTGCAATGTGAAGTCCTTTGCGTTGCTTAGCATCTTACGTGGTGCCTCGGGAGGGGTCCAAGGGACTTCACCATGGAAGACCCCCGCGGCGTCGGCGCAGCCATCTGGCCGACCTAGGTTAGCAGGGATAGCCCCTCGCCAAAGAAGCTCCAACACAACATCTGGGTCCCTGGCTTTAGGTGCAGGCGGCTTGGGTGCCAACGCAGGCGCCTGATGTGGCGCCTTTGGCGCCAATGCGGCAACCTTTCCGGGCAGGGGTTGAAATGACATATTTTCCTTTCAGCCGTGGCACCTTTGTGGCCGGCAGTGGGTGTGGTGGTGGCCGACTACCCTTGTTCATGCCTTCAGCAACATGAAATTGCAAAACTAATGACAAGCATCATGCAATCTCACAGAGGGCGCTACTGGCCGCCAGAGGCGATGACATGAAAAGAACCTATCACAACACACATAACCAGGGCAGCTCGCACAGGCTATGTGATCTACGAACTGCACTTCAAGCGCCACAAGCCCGGCCGCAACTCAGATAAATGACAGCGCAGTCCCTGTCGGCATCTGCTCACCGATAATGTTGTACTGTTGAGCTGTATGAACGGCATTTGCCGGCCAACAATGGCAACACTGCACTTGACACTATGCTACAAATGGAACAAAACATATGCTTTCATTGCCAGGAAACAAAACTTGTGTTTGTGTGTAGGATGTCTTTGTGCTATGAAACACATAAATCCCTGCAAGCCAGAGCATCGGAGTCCGTGACACTTTACAGTTGCTTTTGCTGAATGCTCACCCAGTCTAGCGATTTGTGTCTAAATCTTTGCTTTACATCCGACATCATGCTGCAAGCGACATCCGCCAACGTAAGTTGGAATACATCTGGAAATCCTAAGCACGGCTGGCTCCATGAGTCCCGGACACCCAAAGCTTTTTTGTTTCTTCATATACTTGCAATGGAGCTACCACGGCTTTCAACACGCTAATGAAATCATTATGTTCTGTCATGAAAATTTCAAGTTGTGCTAGTGAGTTAATATCATCAACAAGGATCTGGAATCGAAATATCCAATAATCAGGAAATGATTCATCGTTCAGACAAAGTACGCACACACACTTTTTTCAATGGCTGGATTCTGCATAACCCATGCAGGCAACTGCTGTCCCTGGTTCAGGGGCGACATTTTTGATGCCACCCCTGGATAGCATGGATCCTGAGTGGTCCATCACCTGTACATCCTGAGCTATGCTACGCGACGCCACATTCACAGGCTGGGCGCGCTACGGCTCGGCTGAGCTGAGACCTGCGCAAAGCTGAAGGCTACAGAGCCCACAGCACACATGACCCGGCTGGGCCCCTACACCTACGCAAAGCTGCGGGCTACAGAGCCCACAACTACACGACCCGGCGGGGCCACTACGCACACGCAATCCTCGGGATGGCACAACACTGTCCCTGTGGACCAATGCGAGGAGCACAAAAGGAATTACCTGGATAGAAACGCTTTCTATTCCGAAGGTATCAAGAGTCGGCACTCAAGTTTGCATCATTAACGATGATGAGGAATGACCATCTCAACACGCACGCACAACCCAGCATGGGTAGGGATTTGCCGAACAAGAACCAAGGGTGGGTAGGGTGGGCAA